GCAATAATCAACAGCAACAGTAGCATGCATAGCATATCTACTCTGCCATGATCAAATGCATTAATATTGTTATACCCATTACCATGCTAAACTATTCGGAAAGTTATCATAATAGAAATAACTGAAAGAGAGTGAGGGCCAAGCAAGAATCGAAACCAGGTGATCAGTCCAGATAGTGAACTGTTGACCGCAGAAAGGTCGATAATCAGGCAGGCAAAGCGGTCGAAAGTCAGATGGTGAGGAAACGTTAGGGACTGAAGCAGAACTTGTCGATGACAGACAGAGGTCGTAAATAAGCAGGCAATCCACAGACGAAAAACCAGGGGTCAGAGCCTGGTGGGACAGTCCAAAGGCTGTGAAACAAAGAAAAATGATAAAGTTAAAGATAAAAGTTTGCAATGTGTTTCAGTTAAGCAGTTGAAAGAGATTTAGCTGTATATGCTGAAGTTTTAAAGATGGTGTCACATGTGTAATTAGAAGTGATTGTCACAATAAAGTGCAATCAACCAATTGTAATTACAGAAAGTGCAGAAATAAATCATTCCAAGGGGTGATAAAACTAAGGCTAAAGGCTAAAGACTCTATATGTAATTATACATAATCTATCATTAACTTTACAGTGCTAGCTCAAAGTGTAGTATTATTAGCTTGTAGTCATCCCACATAGAACTATAATTTTTCATAATTCTGAGTGAAACAGTATATTTAAAGGGGTTCATGAACTGCATTTTTATAATGTTTCTTAAGGTGCACTTATAATGCTTGTACTGTACATCAAAAACTGCCATCATAGAAATAAATGGCATTTTCTACCCCGATTTTAGTCCTCAGATTTGAACACTGTTTAAATGGATGGATCTCTTTTAAGACTTCAATGTAAAGACCCACTGCTATGATTAGCTGGCATCTTTACATATAAAATCAGTATTATACTTGGATCTCTTCTGAAAACTTTTACACCTGCCAAGATTAACTAAGAATGAAAAGTGTTGATTATAATAATATATTTAGATCTACTCCCATAAAAGGTTGCAGTGCTGAGCATTGTAGCCGATCACAGTCATGTCTGTTGAATGCTATGATCTCATGGTTAATTTATGCACTCTCACGAATGCTTTCATCATAACTAACACAGTACAAACGCAATGTAAATAAGAAATTAATTAAGTATTGTAGTCATTGATTATAATAGAAGTGCAGAACTCAAATCAATGATAGACTCGCACTGAACTTGAAATCTCAAAATGCAAAGACAGTCTGACTTTGTATATTAGTTAAAGATGCCTAGTTAGATTATACAATTAAGCATTTGATAAAATGTATTTATTGTGTACGTACATGAAATTCGGCAAAACTCTACTATATTCACATTTGCTGCTATTAAAGTATGGTCAACAATATCATTACATATCTAATTATAATCAGATATAATTTACTGTTTTGGGATGTGCCTGAAGCCAAACACTGTATTCAGAAAGGCACGGAAAATGAATAATGTATTCTACGGAGCCCCTAAAGGGACATGGTGATGGAAAAAAAAATTAAGATGGGAGGAAAAAATATATTTCAATGCTTTTGCATTCTCTCGCAATTATATAGTTGGGTAATTATACTGCATATAATTTGCGGGCATCAGGGAGTCACACCCCTTTCACACATACAGACTTTACTGGTAAATTACCGGTAAATTTCCGTTAAGAGATCATGTGTGAACAGGACCTTTTAAAAAGTACTAGTAAATTCATTCCGCCAATTTACCGGTATGAGACGTTGTAACATTATCAGTGAATTACAGGTAATCTGCTCTGTGTGAATGCAGAATGAAGATTACCGGTATGAGCACGTACGAGTTCAGAACGCGCTGACGTAAGACGTCTACTCTGGGCCAATCAGAACATTCTGACGCAGATGACGCATTTACTCCGCGCTGCGTAGTTCGGTTTGAAGTCGTCGAATGCGATGTCTTCGGGCCAAAAGCAGCTGCATGAATGTGAACTTTGACACAAAAATAAAAACATCAATAGAAACACTGACCGCGTAAACCACTCCATGTTTACAAACACAACACCGGGATGCGCAGCCGTTTAGAGGTCATTTCTGGTCAATGATGTCACAGAATTTACTGCTAATTTGAAATTTTGTATTTACCGGTAAAGTCATTCCGGTCATTTTTACGGCAATTTACTGGTATTACTGTGTGAAAGGGGCAGTATGCAGGGTATTGAAATCATCTTTGAATGCGCGCTCACTTTTCACTTTCAACTTTAAATTTGCGATCATGCATACTCTGTGGGCCCTCTGAGTCCACACTTTGTGTCCACACTTTGATGATGTAATTTGTCTACAGTATGGCCGAACACCGTGTAACACTGACTACCGCAGCAAGCCTAACCATGTCTGTTTAGGGGCTCCGTTGACTGCATTATTCATTTTTTGTGCCTTTCCGAATAAGGTATTCAGTTTCGGGCACATCCATAGTACTGTATGTATAATGTAACATCATATATGTATGGTATTGAAATCATCTTTGAATGCGCGCTCACTTTCACTTTCAACTTTAAATTTGCGATCATGCATACTCTGTGGGCCCTCTGAGTCCACACTTTGTGTCCACACTTTGATGATGTAATTTGTCTACAGTATGGCCGAACACCGTGTAACACTGACTACCGCAGCAAGCCTAACCATGTCCGTTTAGGGGCTCCGTTGACTGCATTATTCATTTTTTGTGCCTTTCCGAATAAGGTATTCAGCTTCGGGCACATCCATAGTACTGTATGTATAATGTAACATCATATATGTATAAGTATACTGTAGGACTTGAGAACTTTTGAATTTTGAAGAAAAATAAGAATGCTTGAAGTCATAGTTGTGTGCAAGGCATTTCACTCTTGAATGCCTTGAATGCTCTGTTTACAACTGTTAAACAGGGCCTGCTAAAAAGATGCTTTTTTTTTTATCCATTCACAACTGGCCAATGCTAAATACAGGTGTAAATGGGGTTTAAAGCATTTTGGTTTAGTCCATTGTCGAAAACACATTTAACTCTTTCTCACCATTGACAGAATTTTCCGGCTTTCCGTGTTTTCACTGTTATATGGTAGGAGGTGCTATTACACATCTTCTAAAAGAGTATTGAACGTCTGGATCAAAACACAGTGAAGTAGAAGCACAAGCATGCGATCGCGAATGTAAGCAGATGCATATGTAAAATAACAAACTCATCAAACATTAAACAGCATATAAATCAAAACGGCCTAACATTACCAAATAAAATGTACAAAAAACATGATTTTCTCAGCTTTTTGTTCAAAACAGTTTTTTTCATGAAGCTTGCCCACATTCAAGTGCTTTTTTTGTTTTTTTTTAAGCAGAGGCTCTGTTCTTTGTTTTGGCATATTGCATGTTCAGATATTCATACAACAATATATTCTGGGGGCCATTAAACTTTTGTGAAAATGATAAAAATTGCTGGTGGTGGCTGGCAACTTAAAAAATGCTGGCGGTGAAAGAGTTAGCACTACGACTAATTTCACTGACGTTTAAAAGGAAAAATGTCAACAAAATCTTACTGAAGAAAGTTAGTTCCTTTTCATCAATTCATCAATTTCATCCCCCTCTAAACCAGTAAATATGCTCCCACAGCTTGCTCATCTTCCTAGTGGACATTTCTCTGAGCCCGCAGCAGGTGACAGGAAAGAAAGAAAATGCATGCAAGCGAGGTCTAAAAACTTTTCAAAATAATGTATTATTTTTAAAACTTAGCATTAGAATGACTACGTTTTTAATAGTCGACTAGTATTTCCAATGTTGACTAGCAGCAGCAGTTACGTTTAATCGACTAGTCTCGCACATCCCTACATTCAACCAGATTGCTTTTGTAGTGTAGTCACTTGTGTGGTCGAATGCATTCAAACAGCCACAAATGACCACCTCCACATACTGAATAAATACATAATCATTGTAATAAAGTGTACCAAAACAAATGATTCAGACTTGGCTGCATTCTACCAAAACGCACAGATTACAGTTGAAAATGCAGCTGCTTTTTCGCCCTATTCATTCGTTTCCTTTTCCAAAGATTCATAATCCATGTAACAGTGCTTTGTTCAGTCAATAGTATTTGTGTGCCACACTCTCTGTTCCCCAAAAAGAAATGGTGAATTTGACTAAATTAGACTGGAGTGTCTCAAGGATACGAACAGAAGTGGTCAGAAGAGATGCTTTTGAAATGCTATTAATACTAGGTGAGAACAGTGTGCATCTCGGCTGACCACTTGGGATCAAATCAATGCATCTTATTACCAGGTGGAAATAAGAGTATAAAATTTGAGGCTACACAAAATGGGCTTTTGTTGAAGCTGTGTCTTTAAAGTCAACACAAAATCGAAATGTACCCTATTTGTTTGTGTTTGTGCACAATTAAAAATGTCATAAAAAACATGTCCTTATGATCTTGTATCAAAATGTAATAACTTTAACAAGAAAATTTAATAGTTGTAACAACTTTCTAGAAACAAATACATCTTACTGTTTTAACCCAGGATTCATTCTGGTATTGGACCGCTTTTCATGATCCAGTTAATTCTCAGCGGATTTTTAAAAAAATCCTGTTTCACATCAGATTACTGAAGTAAAATAAGTTATGAATGCTATTTCACATTGACTTTAAACTAGAATAGAAACATGCACGTAAAGGGCAAACCTGATAACAATGCATTGAAAGCTATGCATTGTTGCAGTGATTGACACTTTCTGTTCTGTCGGAGTATGTCGAGCAGATAGAATAATAGAGATTGTAGCACTCTCACTCAGCTAAATGTGTCCAAGTGCCAAATAAGCCTTCCGTTAGCTACACTGGATCCTCTCTGATTCTGTCCACAGATTGTGGAGGAGGTTATTCATGTATTGCTGGAGTGGGTGGGTGGTGCAGGTTCTGGAAGACTGGAGTTTGCTCTATCTAAATGTCAATCCTGCTTTGTGTTATAGAGGGTTACTGCATGCCGGAGTGGGATGGTATCGTTTGCTGGCCCGAGGGACTTCCTGGAAGGATGGTGTCCACTGCCTGCCCGGAGTACATATATGACTTCAACCACAAAGGTGAGCTTGCAGCGCTGACCTGTGGCTAACTGATACGTGTCTAATGCACATGGCAACCCCTTGACAATAATGGACAACCTCAAGCATTCACAAATTTGGAAGCCGCCACCTCCAGAATCGGTGCTTTTCTTCTCAGTTCGTCATTGTTGATGCTCCAAATTCTTTTCTCGTCTTTCAGACAAACATTTTGGAATATTTCCATAAATTTTTACATGCTTGACTTGTATTCATAACAAAAACAGAGTGTGTTTTCATAAAGCAGATATATTGTGTACCTGGACAGTGAACTGAGAACTAGTGGTGCTGTTCCTAACTTCATTACATTTACATTTATTAATTTAGCCCATGCCAAAGTGACAAGTAACTATGAGCAAATAATCCAAGGGAGAAAACAATACAAAGCAGCCAAGGCTCATTGGAAATATGTGCTTGTGGCGACTTTTCTGCAACACAGATATTACGTACTTTATTGCAAGTTTTGTGACAGTTTCAAAATGAAAACACACGTTCAATACGTGACCATGGCAACGTTTTTATTACATTGGTACAGGCACGTATTGCAGTGGTTCAGAATTCAAATGTCCGGGGAGTGTCCCTAAAAGGTCAATGATCTATCGTGTTGGAAAATAACATTCCCCCTACACCAAACCCAACCTTAAACCTACCCGATAGTGTTAATGAATGCAAAAGTGATGTAACCGTGCTATTTTAGCTTCCTTATATCTGGGTTTAAGCTGTTTTGTCAAATTAAATTAGGCTTGAAAATTAGGCTTTCTTTATCAAAACTGGCCCTGTCATCATACTTTTTTGAAAAGGAATAAACGTTGTCAAGTTAATACCTCCTCATCCACCCCATTCCTAAAAATAACAACTACCTTACTGACGATTAATAAGCAGAAAAATAGGAGTTTTTTGAAGCAAAGTCATAGTTAATAGTTAATAGTTAATAGTGAGAATGGGTCCCCAAACTAAAGTGTGACCGAAATATTTACGAAACTGAATCAAATTCAATATTCTACTATGTGTTCATTTAGTTGAAATCAGTGTGACCAGCATGTCATGATTATTTTAACTATATTTGTACTGTATATTACTTGCATTAAATATTTGAATTATGATATGTCTCTATCTATAATTGCTGTTTCAAGATTCTTCTAAAAATAAAGAAAAAAAAACACCTTTATAAACCACTTCGAAGGAAGTACATACATATTGAACTGAATATCCTAGAAGGCTGAAAAATCTCTAAAACTCACATACGTTTGAGGCAAAAATCACCCAACATATTACTTTCCATAAAAGTATTTTTTTAAATGTTTACATTTATATGTATTTGGTTGTACTTTGTTGATTCTTGATTTAACGCAATAATTTAACACACTGTTTTAATAGGTGAAGTTCTCTAACAGTTGTACTGACAGATTTTGTATCATGATTCAAACTGCTTTCCAAACAAGCTTCCTTGCTAAGCAGTGCTTGCAGTAGTGCTTTAGAGATCCATTAATTACAGTACATACGAAAGCACTAATTTGACCTCTTACTCAAATCTGTACACAGTTGCATTTTTTTTTATTGTATTCCTTTTATCAATAATTTAGTCCACATTTGTAGCACTTTTTGATGATGGCAGCAAACATTGACCATAGCTCTATCCTGTCTGTCTGAATGAGAAATCAATACATGAATGTCCTAAGTCAAGACACGATTGCTTTGTTAGAGTATGTTTGTGCTGTATCCACAGGACATGCTTACCGGCGCTGTGACATCAATGGGACCTGGGAGCTGGCGTCAAATAACAACAAAACCTGGGCTAATTACAGCGAGTGTGCCAAATTCCTCCCCCATTATGATCAGCACCAAGAGAGGGTAAGGCCTTCTACCTTACAGTTGCTGTCATCAACTATAGTCAAATTTGCATACACAAGCATTTTAAATATGTAAATTTGATTTAATGTACCATTACCCAAAACTAAACATTCTGATAATTTGCTGATTAATTCAGAATGCATTAGTTTATGTCTCATGTTATATTCCTCATGATGCCTGCTAAAAGTGTTGTTTTATGTAGATCAGGCAGCTTGCACTGGGCAAATAACATTGAAGCAAACAAACATATAAATGGATGCAATGCATGGAAATGTACCTGGACAATGACTGAAATTATATTCTTTTGAAATATCCTTTCTTTCAAACACTTGGCTACAGTTACTTCTGTTGCTTCACTCAATAAACAATAGCTGTGCTAATATTAGTGCGTTGACAAATAACTTCTTACTTCAATGCATTATGTTAACTACAGAGACTCTTTTAAATGTACAACTAACTAACCATTAAATATTTAAAATAAACAAGTTTTTTTTTCATTTACTCAAAATTACAGACTTGAATAAGCTGAAAACTAGTAAATTAACTTGAGCTGATATAGTAATAATAATAAAACATTGACTTCATTTAAATTAAAAATTAAGATAAATTAATTTTGTGTAACCACATAAATATTTTTTTCAGTTTACTCAAAATTACAGACTTGAATAAGCTGAAAACTAGTAAATTAACTTGAGCTGATATAGTAATAATAATAAAACATTGACTTCATTTAAATTAAAATTAAGATAAATTAATTTTGTGTAACCACATAAATATTTTTTTTCAGTGTAATGTTTAATTAATCATATTGATTATTTAATTAGTAGAACAGTTCCCTATTAATGATCAAGAGATCATACTACTTTTATAAGTAATTAGTTAGTAATTAATGTATTAAGAAATGTTAGTTAGACCTAATTTATTGTGTTGTAAATGCTGTTAAATTTAGATACTCTTTACTCAACATGGGATGAAATCAAACCAAACACTTAGGCAACACTTGAACTTAGGCAATGTTTTTTTTAGTTATATCAGCTCCGTTATATTCCTATTCATTAGTTTCCAGTATATTCAAGTATATATTTTTGAATAAACTGAAAAGCCTGTTAGCGGTTGATGTTCAATAATGTTAAGAGTCTGTGTAGATAACGTACATAACAAAGAATGCAAATTCAACAAATACGTAAGTTACTTGTCACTGTACTAACATTAGCACAGCAATTTCTCCTTGAGAGCAGTAACACACACTATAGTCTTTAATCATGGAGCTGCCCACAAACTAAACACAGACTCTGCTCTTCAGCACAATGATAACCACAAAAACCTACAGAAACTCTTTTAAATGTCAAGCACAAATGAACATTCAACTCTAAAAGATCTTTATTTTTTCCTTGACAAAAACCAATAAAATAGTACTTAATTTCAACATCTACTGCCCTGATCCAGCCCTATGCAAAGAATACTGTGAACTAAACATCTGATGCCCAGTTTCAGTTAATGCAACAAAAATAAGTCATGAAGTCCCAACATAAGTGGATGAGGTAAACGTCAGTTAATGAGCATAATTTACATAGAAAAGGCATGTGTGTGTGTAGAGAGGAATGTCAGTGACTACATTTAAAAACCGAAGACGCAGCACATTTTCAACATTATGCATGCTGAACTGGATTGCAGGTGTTTTGTGAATACGATGCAGGTATTTGTGTGCAAAAAGTGTTGCAACTGATCAATAAATTCCTCCCTTAGTTGTTTAAATTTTGATTTGGTCCTTACTCAAAGCTGTCGTGGCTTTAGAAGACATGCAGACTTGGAACAACATGAGAAGACTTTCTTTCTTACTCCTTTAAAAGTCAAACCACATTGTGTGAACACAGTTCATTAGACATCAATGTTAACACTGAAGTCTTTTGTTTGTTTAGTTTTGTTTAGATTTGTTTCTCTCATCTGTGTGCTTTTCATTTTGGTGTAGACGGGCAAAGAGCTGAGCTGTGGGCTTAACTATGTATCATTTAGATGAGGAATTCACATTAGCTGGACCCTTAGTGAAAAACTATTCCAATTCACAAGTCTGAACTGAATTTAATCAATGGAATCAGCATAATCAATGTAGTTCACCAAAAACGTCTGGTTGACTGAGACGCTGTGTGGAAACTTTCTGTAGCTGTTTAGGTTTGTGTACCAACAGAAACTCTGACAGGATTTAAGCTTATAAGTGTGCTGTGATGTGTGTGTTATTATGGTGTCTCTTCAATGCATCAGCTAATGATTCTGTAGGGCTTCAGACACTGTGGCCACTGACGTGTTCCTGACCCGTTGCTTCATTACGATGCATCTTACGGGTTATGTTTATTAATCTAGATGTTCTATTATGGCAAAGTGTTAAATGAGAAAAGCATTGAATAGACATTACATTACACAAACCTTTAAGGCTGCAATGTGGCTATAACATTGTTTTCAGAAGCTGTATCTGAAGTGGCATTTGTATATTTACACAGACTGTTCAGACTCAGAGGTGGCATGAATGCATTTACACTGTCTAAATATAAAACTAAAAACATCAATAGGTTGGTGGTCACTGTCTTAATGTGTGAGTCATTCATTTAAACTGCTGATTCATTCAGAAACAAATCAAGTGACTGTCCTTATGAATGAGTCACTGAATCATTGGTTCACTCAATTCGTTCTAGTAGATTAATTCAGTAACTAAACACCACTGTGTTATTATGTGTATTATGTTAATATATTTTGAAACATTTTAGCAAAAAAACAGTTTTTGGCCATTGTTTGTGTATTTTTAAATATTTCCACGACATTCTAATTTATTGAGATGCACCTGTATATACTGTATATATATACACCTTGCTACGTGTCGTTCGTTAGGCTAACCGAGACTTGTCATTTGTACTTATATATTGTTGCTCTTTTGTTAGTTTTGACTGCTTTTATTGTCCTCATTTGTAAGTCGCTTTGGATAAAAGCGTCTGCTAAATGACTAAATGTAAATATATATATATATAAAAAAAATTTTTTGCCATTAGTTAAAATCTATATTAATGTACCAAGCAGTAATGTCCATTTTGTGTTGTATTGTACGTAAGAAAAAACTCTTTAATAGCTAGCTCTTCATAGTGTCTTGTCTGGGTCACATCTTGCTCTGTATTTTCAATTTAATTTTGCTCTCACAATTAATTTTAGTGTAACAACTGATTTACTCTGTAATAGCTCTCATATATTTACCACAAGATAATAAAATCTCTACAAGTTCACACATTTTATGGTCATACCACTCATCTTCTTTTGCAATGCATTTAGATTTTTAGTTCCACAAATTGACATGAATAGATAAAAATTATTCATTTTCCTGTATTATGTGGATGTTCTGATGAAGTGGATCATTAAGGTGATTTGCTAAAATTCAGTTCAGACATTTTCTGTTATGCGTATTGCTCATCTGATTTGTTCATTCGTTAACAGGTGTGAGGAGATGATGAGTTTTGGATCAATTTATTCATATTCATAGCAATTCTGTCACAAAGGCTTTTCAGATTAGCTTTTCAGATCCTTGGTTGCTCACCGCACAAAAATAATTTGTTCAAATAGTCAATTATGGTTTCCAGTTTTTATTTGCCACTTTTTTGGATGATATTTTCCTTTGATCTGTAATGAAGTCTAGAGATCTATATTTTGAGGTCATGCCTTTTTGCTTCCCAACTCTCAAGAGCCACTTCTGAAGTTAATGACAAATTCATCCATGCAAATGAAATGCTTTGGAGTGCAGCGACTCAACGGCACAAACACGACGCTGGTTTGGCCATCGCCTCTCAACAGCTGGCAAATCTCTTGTTGTATCAGCGCCAGATTGCTCTCCTCTAATGCATACCACTGATCCAGCTCGCTCAGTTAGTGCGGTCACAATGTGAAGTTACTCGGCTGCCTACAGCATGAAGTAATCGCAGTTGAAAGTGTGGCTGCTCACTGCTCAGCTTTTGTCGGTTCTCTGAACTTCAAGACAAACTGTTTTTGCAAGAGGCCGTGAGCAGACACCTTAGTCACCGGGTGTCAGCTTGCTCTCCAAATAAACAGTTGTGATTCTGGTGGAAAAACTGCCGAAGGCAGAGATTCGATAGGTAATTTCTTTAGCAGCTGTGCTTTCATTTAAACACCAAAAGATGCAAATGCTTGAGCTTTGAGTTTGTTAGTGCGGTCACAATGTGAAGTTACTCGGCTGCCTACAGCATGAAGTAATCGCAGTTGAAAGTGTGGCTGCTCACTGCTCAGCTTTTGTCGGTTCTCTGAACTTCAAGACAAACTGTTTTTGCAAGAGGCCGTGAGCAGACACCTTAGTCACCGGGTGTCAGCTTGCTCTCCAAATAAACAGTTGTGATTCTGGCGGAAAAACTGCCGAAGGCAGAGATTCGATAGGTAATTTCTTTAGCAGCTGTGCTTTCATGTATACACCAAAAGATGCAAATGCTTGAGCTTTGAGTTTAAGCCCAAACAGAAATTTGACACTGCTGACATGTGTTTTCAAGTGGTGTAAATAGCAGTAAACATAAAGAAACTGGGACTGTTTCAGACATGGTCATAATATACTGCATTGAGATGAAGAAAAAAATTTAAGTTTCCAGATTTTTAACTAGTCTAAAGAAAAATAGAAGATAATGTGTTTTTTAAAAACATGTTAGGGCTGCCAATGTTATGAATGTGATGAAATGCATGAATTGCAGGGGTCATAAATTGCATTTTTTTTTTTATAATACTTCCTGTGGTGCACTTATAATGTTAGTAGGATGTTTTAAAACAACAAAAACAGTCATAATTTAAAAAAAAAAAAGACATTTTTCTACCCCAATTTTAGTTTAAAGGAACATGTCTTCTTACAGCATTATATGCAGATGCCATGTTGCATAAAAGGTTGCAGCGCTGAGCATAGCTGATCAGTCATGTCTCATTACAACTCAATTTCTGCACTCTCATGAACGTTTCCATCATAAATAACACAGTGCAAACACAATGTAAATAAGAGATTCATTGAACAGTGCAAACAGCATCATTGATTATAATGGGAGTTTGGGTGAGAGTTTCTTTGCTCGCTTTATGTGAATAATTAAATCACAATATAACCCATACGGCAAAAAATGTATGTTTTCAATTTTATTTTAAATATACAAAAAATGTCCAAAAAATGTTTTACTTACAAATATTTAAAATATATTTATGTAAATATATAATCTACCAATTTATTTTTCACCATTTTTTTATAATATCTTTTTAAAATATAAATGTATGTTTAAAAGCATAAAAGCACACCCTAGTAGGCTATTTCATCCACATTTAACTTAAATGTATGCTACTGTAAGGATCACATTTTGTTGCTTTGCAGCTTGAAATGAAGACGGACACATTTTTTGTTTTATCCAGCTGTATTTACTCAGTGCAACTTATAACATCCAAGTGAAAGATATAACACCAACATGTCAGAAAAAAAATATAAAATAAAATAAAATAAAAACCAGAATCACTGAGTTGGAAAAAGGATCACCGCTTGTGTCAGTATTTTGTTGAACCACCTTTTGCTTTAATTACAGCCTTTAGTCTGGTGGGATTTGTCTCTACTAACTTTGCACATATAGACACTCTTCTTTGCAGAACT